TTTTGGGACAATCAATAACTTCTGGGAAGACGATCTAAGCGTTCTCACAGGAGAATAGAAATGGAGAAGATCTGAAATGTAAGTTGGGGCAAGACCATGAAGTGCTTAAAAAACTAAAACTAAAACCTTAAAATCAACTCTGAATTTAACAGGTAACCAGTGAAGTGAAGCTAACACAGGGGTAATATGATCCCTCTTTTTTAAAAGAGGGATCATAGTTAATAAGGTCTCATTTGTTAACATTAGTTAATGCATTAACTAACATGAACTAATAATGCACAATATATTTTATAGAATTTATCAATCTTTGTTAATGTTAGTTAATAAAAATGTTCATGTTAGTTCACAGTACATTAACTAACGTTAACAGATACAGCTTTACGTTTTAATTAACTTAATATTAACTAAGATAAATGAATGCTATAAATATTGTTCACATTAACTAATATAGATAATGTTAACAAATGAAACCTAATTGTAAAGTGTTACCAAATGCTTTACTTGAGAATAATATTCTTTAAGAATAAACCCATGAAATACACTGAAGGAAAGTCCAATTTTATGGGCTTTTGTCATTTTTATTAGTATTTAAAGGTGAAATTATAAAGCTTGAATTTCTTTTTATTTAAGTTTTAGTAATTTTAGTGCTTCAACTTATTTTACTTCAGTTAGTTGTCAAGGTCAATATTTCTAAGTTTTTCATCCAATACTGATATTTCATTTTATTTTAGCTTTATTTCAATCAATGAAAACAATTTGTAATAGTTTTAGTTAGAATAACAATATTGATTTCATGTTGTCTCTATAAACACAAATTCAGGTTTTATCTCTTGCAGCTGGTGGAGGAACATCAAATGCGTCGACCTTTGAGGAAGCACCGGTTCCTAAATCAACAGCAGCCATTTTGCTTTACTTTTACAGGAAAGCTGTTCTTAACATAAAAACAAAACAAGCATGACTGGTGCTGTTGCTTGGGCCTGCAGTCACTCAAGCAGCAATGTCCCTGTGCAGTGTGTGTGTGTGTGTCTATGTATAGGACATGAAGTGTATTTGTGTTTCCTCACATAATGAAACAGATGTAACGTTTACAGTAACATGACTTTCACTCATTTTTAGCTCAAATGTTGCAGTACAAGTTATGCACCAAAGGTTAAGTTAAAGTCCAGCCTGCATCCCTTCCCAATCCTATTAAACTCCTCATATGTCACTGTCCTTTCAATTAAATGTAAAAAATAATAATAATAATAAATAAATAAAACTCCCTCTGAGTCAATGTCACACTCTCACAGTATAAAGCCAATCAGCATAAAATGAAAGCCAATCAGTATAAAACAAAATTTTCTATGAAATCAAGCCATCTGGGCAGCCCTTCTTCATTAGAATACTGTATGTCTGTCATTCCACAGATGCAGAGAAAGATCCTCATTTATTAACAGCTTAATGCTCTCCCATCTGGAGTCGAGCCCACACTGTGTCACCTAGCGCTGAGAACATTCACTTACAGCCCTCCACACACACACTCTCTCCGTATGTGTGTGTGTGTATAAGGTAACGTTCATGACCCTCCGCCCACTGCGAACATACCAACATGGTCCCACACAGTACCTGCCACCCACACACAAACTCACACGCCGTCAGACACAAAGTGTGAATGCATAAACAGCATTGTGCTGGCAGGGAGGTCAGCAAAATAGCCAGGTAAACACACAAAACAAAACAATTGCATATATTGAGGGAGAGACACACATTCACAAAAGGCAACAGACACCTGCCACTATGATAGGAAAGACACACATTAAGAAATGCTTGTGTACAATTTTAAAAGAAAAAAAATCCTAATTATATGCGCGCAGAGCATCTGAAGCCCCCCATGCCATCCCCCTCCTCCCCAGCTAACATGGTGATACAGACACACACCCCTCTAAGGCAAACCACTTGCCAGTGTTCAGTGATGCAAACCAGCCAATGATCTCACACTTCTGCATGCGTGTGTCTGCACACCCCCTAATGATGATCCCACCGTGATATGAAGAGAGAGAAGGAGAACAGCAGAGAAGTTGGCCAATACAAATAGATGATGAAGTGATAGTGAATGACCCTGAGTTTCAGTTGTGTGTGCAGATTGCATTCAAAGATGCTGGAGAACTGCAGTAGAGCATTTGAAACCAAGCTGCAATACACAGGTATTGCATGTTCAGAGAGAGTGTTTGGAACCAATTCTTAAATCATTTCTACACCTAATTAGATGATTGATTGAATCCAAGATGCATAATAAACAATATGAATTTTAAGGATTATACATTGCTATTAACATATTTCATTCAAAAGGCAATGAGGTCCATTGCTGTTCGGACTGCAACGTCCCAAAATATCTTCTTTTTGTGCTCCAGAGAAAAAAACTAAAACATGAGGGTGAGAATGATGACAGAAATTTCTTTTTTGGATGAACTATCACTTGCCTAATTATAATTCATTCTATGCCTAATGTCTCCTATATTTCCTTGATGGGAAATGCAAAAATAAAATTAACTATTGGACTGAATAAACTAAGACATTAGTATGCCAAACTTCAACCATAATGGTTGCAGGGAAATATGAAATGTTACTCCTTGTACTTCACCAACTTTTTTGCGAGGAAACTTCTTCAATGCGTTATTTTGTGGGGAAAATCCTTGATCGTTTTCTTTGAAAGGTGGGTTTCTCTTTGCCAGAGCTTCCTTGCATTATTTGAAGAAATCTGGCCTCCGTTTCATATTTTTCAACAAGACCAATGTAATATTACTTTCTGGATTTGGATATAAAACTCACTATAGCTATTAGGTATGTCCCTGACACAGTTTACCCTTACACATTTGACACGCAACTACCAAATATATGAATTTTAAATGGATAATAATTTGTCATTCAATTTAGTTGAATTAATAGTTTACTAAAAATTTTCCTTATTTCTCACTTCTTTGGCAATACAAGTCATGTTACTAATAATCATCAAACCTTATGGGCAAAGATGTTTTTGCCTGAGTCTCTCTCTCTCTGTCAGGGTAAACCTGTGGTCCAGCAGCTCATTCAGGCCTGGCTGAAGTGCAAATTGGACATCTGTGCTACCTCCAGTCTCACAAAGACTCTCGCCCACTTCTGTACCCCACATTCACACTCTCAAATCTGAGAACGCTGGAACACAGGGGACACACACCACCAATAGTGGCATTCACAGACACAAGACAGAGATGGTCAGAGCAAGAAATCAAGTTTTCAGCTGAATCGGGCCTCTGCATGCATTATGGCTAGAACCGCACTGAATTCACACACTTTTGTCACATTCTTCTGTGCTGATTGCAGGGGGAAAAAACAAAAATCCTTTGGATAGATTCAGATATGGTGATGTATGTTTAACAGAGCTGAGAGTACTACATTCTCACTGGTAGCTGAATGTATTCTCAAACTAATCAATCACTGCATTTTTTACTTTTACTTTTTACTCCATTTCTTTACCATGTAGAAAAAACTAAACGAGCATTCTAAGAGAGATACAGGTCTAATTTTGTTTAAATTATTAATATTTTATTTATTTTTATATATTATGGTAACATATTTAGAAACCATGGTATTTATATGGTACTAAAACAATACCATGAAAAGAAAATACAGTTGATGTTGTTGTTTTTTTTCTGGCCTCCATTTCAAGTGTTTTAACAAGACCAGTGTAAAAGTACTTTCTGCACTTGTATGTAAAGCTTGAACTTTAGAACAATAAACATCACTGGCATGGTTTTGTACCTCAGATCTATTTTTGCAGAGTAGCTAGACATGACTTAAGGGCTAAGGTATTACTATTTTCTTTCTAGCCTGTTTAATGAATGCAGGCTACCACAAACCATACTTTAATATCATGTGCCACACCAGTGATTTGATATCACATGCATCTATATTGCACACATACATCCCAAAAACAACCAATACTGCTCAACCGAATCCTTTAATATTCAAAACAATATTACAAAATCCAACCTGCTTTCACTTCCTCTATTTTGAATTCACTCAAGAGAAGTTCATGAAATCTGGTCACCCACTGTTCTGCTCCGAAACTTTTGCTTTATGTTTTTAGCCACATAAACAGATATGCAATGATATTAGGGAATAGGGGAGAAGTGTTTCGTTTTGTTCTTAAAGGGCCATTTCTCATAGGATCATACCTAGACCAGAAATAAAACGCTCACATAATCCTAAAAGAGTCAATCTCTTTCCTTTGAACATCAAACGAATATGCACTACAAATAAAGCCAAAGAATACAGATGTAAATGAACAAAGATAATAGTGTGCACAAATTAACTTAAGACTCAGTGAACTGCATTTGAACTTTCAAAGCCACATGCAGGCTACAGCAGAAAAAGAAACTTTCCTGAAGGCACACAAAAGTACACACACAGTCTAATAAACCATCAAAATATGAACAATCAACACTCTTAAAGCTTATAACATGCACACAGCCCCGGAACGCGACAGTGGAAGGGGTTTGGAAGGAGTGGTGGTTGGTAAAGCGTGAAGGTGTTGAACAGTGAGAGTAATGTAAATCAGAGCACAGAGCTCACTCAGACAAAACACCACAACCAAAAAAAAGATAAAAGATGGTCTATAATGTATCAGAAAGACCACGTTCTCACCTGAAAATGTTGAAAATTCATATGACTTGAATAACAAAAACAACGGGCTACTCAAATATCAATACACCACTGAGCTAAAATGTATATATATATATATATATACATTAAAAATATCCCTTTTGGTAAATGTAATGCATCCTTGCTGAATTAAAAATAATACTAATTTCTTTAAAAAAAAAAATAAAAAAACCTTACAGAGCATAAAATAAATAAATAAATCAATACTCAAATATGTTATGTGCTATTGAATTAATGCATATATAATTTCACAAACTGATCTATGAATATAACACAATATCACCTTTTTATATAAAATGTTTTTAAATGATCGACATTACCTCTCCCAATGCTTCATATCTTTTCTGGTTCCATCTATGCAGGTCCTCTTTATAGTTGAAGACAAACGGCTCCCCTGTGTGTATGTGTCTCAACTGACCATCTGCAGAAAATAAAAAAAATATACACAACTATACAACTTTGTAATGAAATCATAAAAAGTGATGTCTTTAAAAGCTTCAGAATACCTACATTTGGTTTGTGTAGGAGGTCTTCCATAAACAAACAGTTTGTAACTCATTAAGAAAAACAGCCCACATTTATTCTGCTATATGCATTTCCTGCTTTTGTCTGAGACCATACTCTATTCATTTTATTACCTAAAACCTCCCAATAACATTTTTTTCACAGTTCTACTTCAACTGCAGACGAAGGGAATATTAAGGACAATATTAGTGCAGAGTATCTTGAAGTGGAGTGCGAGGGATGGCATGAAGCCAAAGCCTTTGTGAGCCAACAAGACATGAATGTTTTCCAACATAAAAGTAGTGTCACATTATTCTTCAAAAGTCATTCTAATATGCTGAGTTGATGATTTGGTTATTATTATCCATGTTAAAAACAACTGTGCTGCTTATTATCTTTGTGGAAACCATGATACATGTTACATGATTATTTGATTAACAGAAAGAACAGCATTTAACTGAAATTGAAATCTTTTGTAACAATAATGTATTTACACTTTTTATCAACTTAATGCATCCTTGCAGAGTAAAAGTATTCATTTACTTAAAAATAAAGAAAAGAAAAGAAATCTTACATACTCCAAACTTATGAATGGTACTGTATATTAGATATATGGTATATTGTACCACCCAATATCATCACTGCACCAGTACCACAAAATAATTAATTTTTTTTGTAAGGAATTAGAGGGCACCAAACATTCCTAGTAATACAATTCTATTCCACCAAACAATACAACACTGAATAACATAAACAGAGAGAGTGGTTGCTAACATTTCTGAAAGGACTTTTAAGAAAGATAGACCCATCTATTTTACTGTTGACACAGAGGCATAATGAAGCCTAAAACCAGTGTTAAATCTAACAGTGACCTCTCTGATTGCCAATGCGTGAAGTTAAAATATTCAAAGCATACACACTTAACCCAAATAGCCTTGGGGCGTCATACGTTTGCAATTACCCTAGCGCATGGCTCCACAAAAAGAAAAACAGCTTTGAAGATAAAAGATTGCATAAGCACTTTCATTCCCCTCATTCTCAAAGCTCCGGCAATTTTTGCACAGTTAGCAAGCGATAAATCCAACATGGCTAACTCAGAGAGTATTACACTATCCGCTTTCATCGTTAGCTGTTCAACAACATGTACCACTAAAAGGCCGTATATCAACAATGAACTCTGAAAGCATGACCGCTCCTTTGAGATAGGATGGGAAAGAGTGTTAGAGAAAGTGAGTCAGTGGAAGGAAAGAGAGCAAGAGAGAGAGGGAGTGAGAGACGTAGCATGCGCTAGTACCTTTAAAAATCAATTATGCATTCACAAAGGGGTGAAGAGAAACACTACTACCAGAAGTGCCTAACAGAAGGAAGAGGGGATCTAATGAAACCAACATGCAGTGGAAGTTCAGCTCCATCGTCTTCATAACACAGGCTCTCTGAGGAATACCCCCCTTCAACTTATTCTCCCTGCTTTAACCTGGCATAATTAGCATGCTTTCTCGATTTTTAGCTTAATGAGGTATACATAGCCTTGGATTTCCAGTAATGAACGAGCTGAAGGCAGACTGGGATGAAGTCATCATGCCACATGGATTTGTGTGAAAAAAATAATAAAAAAAGAACAAGAGTTTTTTTTATTTTTACATGGCAAATGACATATCCTCGCCTTAAAATGATTCTTTTCTGGTCTTGACCTTCTCAACTGTATTCAACAATCAAAATCATAATGTCAGAATTTTTATATAATCACAACATTTGTGAAGCTCTACTTCTCAACCCTGTTACCAATGTTAATGAAATGAAATTATTAAAATTAAACTAATATTTGACTTTCATTTATGGTAAATATTTATCAATAACCACAAAACAACTACCCCTAGTGAATGAAAACTTCATTTAGGCAAAAACTGAAAGTAATCTTATTTAAATTTACTTATAAATAATTACATAATTAATAATTTAATTAAAAAAAATCGAATTTTTGATGTTTAATAATTATTACATCACTCAAATCAAGGTTTGAAACTATATTTACATGTCCAATTGGTATTTGTCTCATATAATATTCACTTTAACCAATAACATTTTCTAAAGGCTATGCACCCATTAGTTAACTTTTGTATCCGATTTGAATGATTATTGCTAGAAAATAACTCAAATCACTCAAATCAAGGACTTAAACTATATTTACGCATTTACATAAATCTGCATTTGGCTCATATCAAGTTTAGTTTAACGATTAACATTTTCTAAATGCGCTGCACCCCATTGGTTGACTTTAGACCCTATTCTGTATTCTATTTGAGCAAATCGACATAATCCCTACATTAAAAATGTAATGTTCAAGACTATACTTGGGCTCAATAGCCATTTTACATTCATCTCAGAAAGTGAGAAAAGAAATTACAAAGTGAAACTTTCTTATAAAATCGAATAAAAGTGATACTCTTCACTGGGAGACTGATATAAGGTATTCCAGACACTAACAGGAGGCGTTTTAGAGAGAGGAGCAAGGTTATGCAAATCTAGCCGTCAAACAGAGCACAAGGCTGAGTAAGCCACTGACAGCCCATAGCATGCACAACTTGTCCATTCAGCTGCCACAGACTCCAGAGACTCTGAAACAGACAGCGCTATCACAGCCTGCTGCCTGCTGTCAATATCCAATGCAACCCTCCGCACACTTCTAATGCATTAAAGACCTTCATAACCACAGACAAGTTACGAAATCATGTTATTAAAGTACAAGGCCAAACGCTATTTGATGGTCTAGCTGGCATGTATGTCATAGAGTGAAATAGTTTACTGTGTCTAAAAATGTTTAGAGTAAAGACAAGCAAAAGGTCTTACGTTCATTGAAGGCATATTCAAACCCATCCAGAGTTTCAGGAAAGTTCAGTGGAGGCTCGTCTTTTTTCATCAGCTCGTCTAAATCGATCCTGGACAATAAATCTAAAAAACAAATTAATATACAAACAATCAAATAAATAAATACTCAATAAGCGCACACAACCCCCCCCCCACCCCCCACATAATTTAATTTATATTTTTATACATATGCATGTATTCACGCACAATGTGGCTTTACCTTTTAGTGCAGTCGTTTTTTCTTTTTCTTCTTGTGCCAAGAGCTGGGCCATAGTTATCCGAACTAAACAGAAGAGGAAGATGCTGGCTCTGATAGGCATGGACACACCGCTACAGAAATATTACTGCACGTCGCTCTGATCAAGAATAAATAAAAATTACTAACCAACAAGCTTCTAATGCTATGACCTTTACTGTCACAACACAATCAAAAAACATTTGCCTTGCCTGTAAATTCATTAGTATGAATGCATATAATGCATTATAGAAATGTCTATTAATGCATTGTAGAAATTATGTCATATTTACAGCAACTATAAAGCAGTAATAATATAATAAATATTTCAAACATTAGACTGATTGTCAAACTGCTGCAGAGGTGTTACAAATCATTCAAATAACATCATAGATACGGTTTCTAAACAACTTTTGTAATTAAATTACAAAACATTAAAACATGATTACAACATATTATGCTTAACATATATCAGTTAAATCATGTGTCAATAATATTAATAGTGTCAATAATAATCATAATGTTTTGGGACAATGCACACTTGTTCTGTGACAGACTTTTTTCTGACAGACAGCAATTTTGAGTAGTGCAAATGATCAATAATAATAATTTGATTATATACTGACTTTTACAATTACAGAAATATTGACAGTGAATGTGTTGACTTGGGGAACGTAGCTTCTAGAGTTTCTAGCTTCTAATGCTACGGCTCTGACTGTAACGCTGAGTTCTGTTCGTGTGGAAGCAGTCAAACCTAAAAGTCGTTGTGTTGAATCTAATCGTAGTTTACTTCCAGTGCACTTTGATGGTCTTTATGGTGGTAACTAGCATTAAGCTAACAGCTTGATTCAGCTCTAAAACCAAGCGTGCTGAACTGAGAGACTCACATGCACCTGAATCGCAGTGTCTGCATTCAGAGAAACACAGTAAAAGCAGCGATCTGCCGTTTTCGACATGATCGGAGCATGTAAACATAGTAAAAGAGTCCCTGCGTGGACCCCAGCCAATGTTTATAAAGCACTACTCATCAGACAGATGGGACAATAACTTCACAAAGCACAGCTATTTCAAGCAGCGAAACTGGTCACCGTGCAGAAGAGCTAGATGAAGACAGTGGGAGAGGTAAATATGGATTTGCATGCATGTCGCTCCGCTCACGTACCATAACAACAAGCACATGTGAGATTTCACACATCCTGCTTCCTCCTTCTGCCAAACAGGAAGACACGCTTCCGTCTCCTCGGAAACGGAAGCGTTTTACACACGCGCCAGCTGATTGGCTGGATTTAAACAGACAGCGCCGCGTTTCACTCAGACACAGAAGAGCTGTCATTGCGCACATACATACACACACGCTTTCATTGCAATAATACTTAATAAGCTTCAGCTGGCGATGTTTTCTATATACCTTTTTTTTTGTACGATGCATGTTCAAATACAGTTTAAATCTCCTGAAAGAAAAGATCACGTCTTTGTGAAGGAATGAATGAATGATCACACGCATTTAGTGTATGTTTCAGTGTGAATGAACTGCAGACTTAAACAAAAACTAAAACAGTAATAAATATAATAACACATACATTTATAAACTCCACATGAGGATTTTGTTTTCTTTTTTTTAATCATCTGTGCGGCAACATTCAATTTATCTTGATGTACTAAAATAACTAGAACTGAAAATGAATAGAAACTATATAGCCCTTTTAAAAATAGGAAAATTGTCAGAAGCACAACAACATTACTAAAACAACTATCAAAACTTTTAGTTTTAAGAAACAAGAAATAAAAAAAGCCAATTCAAAATATGAATTAAAAACTATAATAGTATCTCAATGATAGTAAAATAACAATGGTTGAAACAAACTGACATTTTTGAACTTGTTTACTTATTTTTATTTAATTTGTTTGGACCTGTGAAGTGGAAAATCACCACTTCTGGACTTCTCATTTAACAGTCCACAAGGTTTCCAGGATTAATTAAGAGTTGTTAAAAATCTCTTTCCAATAATCATGTTATGCATGTATTATTTTATGCATGCATTGTTTTTATTATTATTCTATATTCACTGACTGACTGAAACCAAAGAGTACTTTCTGTATTTACTATTTTCCCCTTCCAGCAAGTAACTCTCCAAAATCGATTTCCTCATAACTGTTATATTATCATTTGTTCAACAGATCAGTGGAGTACAGTTTTCAGTTTAGCATCCATCCAATACAGAGTGGAGTCATATTTCATCAAAACCTTGTGATTTTATTAGTTCACAATGTTGTTTTTGTTTATTACTCCTCTGCAACTGTAATTTCACATCCACAGCACATCAGTGTTAACAAGCTTCTTAGCAGCCACACACACTTTTTACAATGGCCATTTGGTTTTCCTGTTAAATAGTCACTGGGCCTTTGCTAAGTTTCTTGGCTTTTGTCGAAGTATGTTTTCTTTAACTGATCCACTCAAATCTTCTCTTCGTCCTCTAGTGCAGCATCATCCTGCATCTCCCACCTATCTGCAACTGTAATTTCACATCCACAGCACATCAGTGTTAACAAGCTTCTTAGCAGCCACACACACTTTTTACAATGGCCATTTGGTTTTCCTGTTAAATAGTCACTGGGCCTTTGCTAAGTTTCTTGGCTTGTCGAAGTATGTTTTCTTTAACTGATCCACTCAAATCTTCTCTTCGTCCTCTAGTGCAGCATCATCCTGCATCTCCCACCTGCATTTCACAAACACAGAAAACAGAAATGTGTGTTAGGCCAGCTCTTAAAAACAGGTAAAACTCAGATCTTCCTTGAGAATAAAACTTCTTTACAATTTCACAATAAATCTGTTTGTGGGCGATAGAGAGTATACAAAGATGTAAAAAAATAGCAACATTACATTAGCATTGTATCAGCCTCAAACAGCACAGCCAGTGTCCGCTTACCGCATATCTGATGCATATTACAGTGCCTTGCGAATTATTTTTGCGACTATTTTTTGTGGCCAAACTCAATCCTCTCTTCAGTGAAGACACATGAAAACACACTTAGAATTTGCAAAAAAAAGCACCTAAAAGACCCCCAGACTGTGAGAAACAAGAGTCTCTGGACTGATGAACCTCAATTCCAAGCGTCATGTTTGAAGGAAACCAGCTCTGCTCTTCACCTGAAGAGTACCACCCCAAAAGTAAAGTGTGCTGGCAGCCTCATGCTGTGGGGCTGTTTTTCAGTGGCAGGGACCGAGGGACTCATCAGAGTAGAAGAAAAGCTCGATGCACCAAAATATAGAGACAGCCTTAATGAAAACCTAGTCCAGAGTGTTCAGAACCTCAGACTGAGCAGAAGGATCACCTTCCAACAGGACAATGATCCTAAGCACACAGCAAGAGTGACTTATAGACAACTCTGGGAATGTCCTTGAGTGGCCTAGCCACGGCCTGGGATTGAACCCAGTCAAATATTTCTGGAGAACTTGTAACAAATATAACAAATATTTCCCCATCCAACCTGACAGAGCTTGAGAGGTGAAAAGATGAGGAGAAGAATGGCAGATAATTGCCAAATGCTGATGAGCAAAGCTTGTCGCATCAAACAAAAAAGACTTGAGACTGTAGAGGTGCTTCAGCAAAATATTTAGCTAAGGGTATGAATGCTTATGCAACGTACTTATTTCAGTTTTTTTTTTAATTTTAATAAATGTACGAAGTTGTGACAATTCTGTTTTTGCTTTGTCAGTATGGTGTATGGACTGTAGATTGATGTGGAAAAAAAGTAATTTAAAGCAGTTTAACATAAGGCAGCAACATAACAAAACATGAAAAAAATGAAGGGGTATGAATACTTTCGCAAGGCACTGTACACACAAAAATGCAAGCGTTAGATGAAATCACCAATTTCCATCTGTTTGGCTGGTATTATGCAACTTATAGGAGTTAGGGTATACTGGCTTCTTTATTAGTCTGCCAGGAATTTAAAAGCTGGAATACACTACACAGCTTTTGCCTAGATTTTTGCCCTGATTTGCAGTCTGGATTAGTCGACCCTAGCTGCTGAAAGTCAGAGCCAGTGGGAGTTGACAGATTTCACAGAAAATCGTATAGTGTACGCTGCCTCTGATTTTATTAGCTTAAGACTATGATTCCATCTAGCCTATGGATATCAGCCACATTTGATATTTTGAGCAATTTGTTTTTGTAATTATTTTAGAACACTTCATTTTTCACGCTGAAGACTGAAGTAATGGCTGCTGAATATTCAGCTTTCACCGGGATAAATAAAATGTTTAAATATTAAAATAGATAACAGTTCTTATCTATTTTGTAATAATATATTAATATTTATACATTAATAATAATAATATATTAATACAATATATTAATTGTGTAATATTTTACAATACTATTGTTTTACTGTATATTTGTGTGAATAAATGCAGCCTTTGTGAGCATAAAAAACTTATTTCAAAATAATTAAAAAATCTTAATTATTCCACTAACATTTTGGTAGTGTATGTCAATTAAATAATCAGTACTTATTATTTTTGGACAGCCCAAAAATTTATTTTCAGACTACACAAGACAAAAATTACAAAAGTTGTAATATCTGGTATTTAACTTTTTTTCCCCTAACCCAAAAGGACTAGAATTCTGTGATAAAATTTAATGAATATATATACTACTCTCTCAGAACTGAAATTATACTTTAAGGTTTAAAAAATCTATAGTATCCAATCACAGCCTTCATCTGCACGCCGATGCTTATGTCCTCACCTCAAAGAGCATCTTTCAACATTACACAACTGTGTTTGTTACAAAGTGTGTGAATCCCTCCTTTTCTCTTTTTCTGTGCAAGCACCATCAAAGGACTTGGTCTGAGTGCATAAAGCAGCTTGCGACGCGGCCGCATTGATTGAGCTTCCACCTCAGTCATTGTGAATGTGTCGCTATCAGACAAGCTCTTTTCTCCTCTATGGATGGCTGTGTCACTGTGGTAATTACAGGCTATATAGGGAGGATTTGTTTATGTAAATATGTGCGTTTGATGCATGGGGCCCTCTCGGGCATGTCTCCTATCAGAGCGGTGTCTCTTTCCTCCTGTCAGAGTCACCTTAACAGAACCACTGGGCCTGAACCTGACAGCAACAGCTCGACAGATGAGTGTGTGTGGGTTTTGCGCATTTATTTTCCGTCGTCTCTCACTTTCTTTTTCTCCTGCACTGGTGGCATAGAAGGATTGTGGTCCTCAGGAACCTTTGAACACTGAACCCCCAGGCATCAGTGTCTTCAGAGACACAATTTTGAGATAAAGCGTCCAAATAATAAGAAATTACATTGCAAATATTAGAAATAAAGTTGTAATTATGAAAATGATCACCATAGGTGTGTACAACAGACAACAATGTATTATAACTGTAGTACGCAACATCAAATCCTCGATAAGGAGCTTAGAAAGAAATACTACGTGCCATTTTTTAAGTAAAGTGTATGTGTCTATCCATATCAGCTGTCAAACATCTGCAGCAGCATGTTTTCAGGTGTCTTAGCTGGTGGCCATTGGCCACAAGAAGCCCGAGACACCAGCCCAATTAGCCCTGTTTAATAAGCCATCTTTCATTGCTGGAGTGTAACAATTGTTCTGCAAACGTTCACAGTTGAAATGGAGTCATTTCAATAGAATTGGGGATTTTGTAATGCGTACAAGTTGGTCACACGGATTTGCTGTGTTGACCAACAGAAAGTGTCTTTGTTTGAAATTAGTGATGCACCAAAATTATTATTATTATTATTTGTACCAAAACACAGAAACTGGTTTTGTTTTTTTTAATTGAACTCAGTATGCTGTTCAGAGTGATAAATCATGTCGTTGTCAGACTTTGTTTTCCGTGTTTTGTGTGTGTTTCGCTCCCCATGTGCCCTCCTTGCCCATATTTGGTTAGTTTCCTGTTCCTGTCCTGATTATGTTTATTTAATTCCAGGTGTTCCCCGTTTATTTCCATTGATCCCAGGTGTGTCTCGTCATCCCCTCGTCTTGTCATGTGTTTAAATAGTGTTCCCTGTTTTTAGTTCAGCGTCCGGTATTGTCCATGTCTGCAGGTGCTAAGTGAGATTTCCGTGTTTCCTTGATATATTAAAATTCTCTGGATTGATGTACTCCTCGTCTCCCTCTGTTCCTTGCTCCGCACTCCACTCAGTTAGTGCAACCGTGACAGTCGTAGTCATTTTTCATTACGGCAGTGAGCCGCCTCTTAATTTTCCAGCT